TTCATCATTCAAGATATCTGAGCCAAAAACCTAGGCCAATAATCCTTCACTCTCATTTACATTCCACATTTAGATCATCAGAATATACAAATATCCAGAATCTGGCCACATCTCAAGAACTTTACCTTTACTACCCTGGTTCAAGCCACCATCATCTCTTACCTAGACTACTGAAGAAGTAACCTCCTCACTATTCACCTGGCTTCCATTCTTGTCCTGCTACAATCCCTTCTCAATGAAGAATGAGCCCTTTAAATCACAGTCAGACCATACCATTCCTCTGCTCGAAACCCTGCAATGGTTTCCTGTTTCACTCAGTGTAAAAGTTAAAGGTCCTGCTGTGGTTTAAGAAGGCTCTAAGTGATCTGTTCCCCTGCCATCCCTCTGATCTCATCTCCTACTTCTTTCACCATCATATCCAGCTCCAGCCACTTAAACCTCCTTACTGTTTCTAAAACATCAAACACAGTCACACATCAGTTTCCTCTGACTAGAACATTCTTTCCCCAGAAATCTGCATTGCTCATTTACTTACCTCCTTTACATCTCTACTATAAGTCACCTTATTAGACAGGCCTTTCTTGACCATCCTACATATAATATCACAAACATATCTGTCATTCTGTATCCTGCTTTTTCTTCATAGCAGTTAACAGTATCTGATATGTTATGGCTTTCGTTTTCTTGTGTTTTTTTTTTCCCGAGACAGAATCTTACTCTGTCTCCCAGGCTAGAGGGCAGTGGCACGACCTCAGCTCACTGCAATCTCCGCCTCCTGGGTTCAAGCAATTCTCCTGCCTCAGCCTCCAAAGTAGCTGGGACTACAGGAGTGCACCACTATATCCGCCTAATTTTTGTATTTTTAATAGAGAACGGGTTTCACTGTGTTGGTCAGGCTGGTCTCGAACTCCTGACTTTGGGTGATCCATCCGCCTCAGCCTCCCAAAGTGCTGGGATTACAGGCGTGGGCCACCATGCCCAGTTTTTTGTGTGTAATTTATTGTCTCTCCCCATTACAAATAGGCACCTAAGAGGCTGGAACTTTGTTTCATTCACTGCTGTGTATGAGTGCCTAAAACAGTGTCTGAGCAGGCACTCAGTAAATATGAAATAAATAAATATACCAAGAATTTGGCCTTTCTGAGGGATTTACACTTGCACTGCTCAAAAATCCATAAACCTAGCAAAGAGACAAAACTGGTTCACTAGTGTTAATATATAAAAATGTAAAAATAAAAATATAGTCTTCTAAGAAAGATGGAAGGCTTGACAGTAAATGATTAACTACCAAAAGAATAAAGTATAAATGAGAGATTGGCAACCATATGAACTCACCTCAAGAGAATAACAGATACGTACAAGTGAACATGTGAAAAACTTTATAATAAAACTATATAATTAAGCACAGAGAATAAGACTGCCTTGCCAAGATTTGCTAACTTGGCAAACATCCATATTAAACTCAGCTTCCCCAATTCCAGATACAAATGGAATTGTGAATTTGGCAATTCACTGGAGAGAAAGACTGCATTACAATCTAGGTTCACATTAAAGTTACCTCATTCTTCTCAACTTAGATCTGACCCAGAGGAAAATTTTTAACAGATTCTATTGGACATGTGCCATACTATAGTCAGTGAAGTTCAAAATTAACATTTTAGATGTTAACCTAAATGATTTGTTTTGTTTTCCTAAAACTAAACTGTACTAAAAAAATGCATTATGAGTATAAAATGAATTATTTTAAATAATATTTTGTCAAAGAAAAAGCAATTTATAACACCAGTCCTTCCCTCGTATTTTGATTTCATTCATGTAATGCCTCACCCATGGCTGAACACATGGTAGCACTCAAGCTGTTCACTGATGAGAGATAATATTCTTTCCTTCAAGGTTTATTCAATATAGATATGTCCACCTCAACCTTCCCAGTTATTAAAAAAAAAAGCAAACGAAAATTATGCACCCCAAATTTGTATATAAATGTACTAATCATTTATTTAACAATTAGTATGTCATAAAGCATAGTATTAGATATCGAAGACACAAAATAAAAATTGCACATGCTGCTATCAATAAATTCATAATGTGGTAGGGAAGTCATATAAACTATAATAGAAAATGATAACTTCTATGATCTTGGGGTACACAGGATGCAAAGGAAGCCCAGAGGAAAAGTTCCCAAGACAGAATGTGTAGAAAAAAGATGGGAGAAAATGCAGGCACAAAGTAACACTGAGAAGAGGGCAGAGGTAAACCTAACGCTACCTACAAATGATAGTATGGCTAAAGGAAAGGAAATATCACATGAATAAAGACGTATGCAGAGCCCAAGGCCTTACATGACACCCTTAAAAATTTGGCTGTTAATCGGGAGGATATTAAGTAAGACAGTAATATGAGCTGTGTTTCATTTAAGATGGTCAATCTAGCAGTATCATGAAGTTTACTTTAGAAAGGAGATTGAGACTGCAGATTATTAAATCAGTTGGTACTGATCCAGAAGAAGGTAGAATGGTGGCAGCGGTGGTGGCTTTGGCAGCTCAGGACTGAGTGCAAGTAACAGAATCAGCACGATTCTCCAGAGGCTCTTCAGGTTCTCCTCAGTCTTTCGGTCAGCAGTCTCAGTCCGTTTGCAGAGGAACACTGGTGTTACAGCAGTGGCGTTTAATAAGGAACTTGATCCTGTACAGAAACTCTCCATGTACAAGGTTAGAGAATACAAATCTAAGTGACAGACAACTGGAGGATCTGTTGATACTGATCCAGAGTACCAGCAAGAGCCGGAGAGGAAGCTTTTTAAGCTCAAGCAACTGTATGGTAAAGCAGACACGAATACATTCCCTAACTTCAAATTTGAAGATCCCAAATTTGAAGTCATCAAAAAACCTCAGGCCTGAAGAAATAAAGTAAAATTAATCTGGTAAGTTGTCAAGGGTTAGCAGTACAACTAGCTAGAAGTTTCAGAATAAACATACATTCACAACTGTCAAGTGTTCTTTTAATCTCGATTCCAAATAAATTATTTGGTGATGTGGAGTATTAAAAAATCTGGAAGAAAAAATAAAGATGTGGATGAAAAGAAGGGGATATTACTTGAGAGATACTGAGAAAGTTATAGAGATGGGAACTGGTGAATAATGAAAACTTGAATCAACTCAGTGGCAGTGAAGCTGGACAGGAAGGAGGAAAGGAAACATCAACAGGACCTGGTGACTGATTAAGGGCAGAAGATTGGGCCAGACACAGTGGCCTGCAATGCCAGCACTTTGGGAGGCCAAGGCAGGCAGATCACTTGAGTCCAGGAGTTTAAGACCAGCCTGGGCAACATGGTAAAACCCTGTCTCTAAAAGAAAAAATATATATACATACAAAAATTAACCAGGGGTGGTGGTGCATGCCTGTAGCCCCAGCTACCTGGGAGACTGAGGTGGGAGGATCACTTGAACCCAGGGAGTGAAGGTTCCAGTGAGTGGAGAACACGCCACTGCACTCCAGCCTGGGTGACACAGTGAGACCCTTTCTCAAAATAAAATAAAAAATAAAGGCGGAAGATTGGACAGAAGGAGGATACTCTTGGTTAATGGCATCACCACCCAACCAGTTGCCTCAAATATATAGTTGGTTCAGATATAAAGGGAGAAACAAGTCTGAAAAAAAATAGTGAAAACAACTTGGAGATACTGGATTTGAATTATTTCAAAATAGTAAAGAAAAGAAAATTATATAAGCAGATTATTAGAAATAAGTCTAGAATTCAAGACAGAGATAAAAGCTGGAGGAAAGCCAAGGAATGGTGATCTCCTAGAAATCAAAAAAGGTAAGAGATTTAACAAACAGAGAATGGTTACCAATGCCAAATAGGAGTAAAGGTGTTAATAATGTCAGTAGGGTGGTAGGGAAGACACAGTCAAAGTCTGTTCAGGGGTAAATGAGAGGCAAGTGGGCAAATGGAAGCAGCAAGTATCCATTAGTCTTTTTCTACGTGGCTCTGAAAGAAAGGGGTAAGACAGCAGTAAAGAACTGTTCTCTACTGCTGTCTTTCAGAGCCTTTCTTTCAGAGTCACATATAAAGCAATTCACTAGAACCTCCACTTCCTGGGTTCAAGTGATCCTCTCACCTCAGCCTCCCAGGTAGCTGGGACTACAGGCATGCATTTTCTATAGTATTTTGAGATAATTCAAATCCAGTATCTCCAAGTTGTTTTCACTGTTCTTTCATTCTCCCAAAGGAGAATTGTCTCCTAAATCAAGGAGCATGTGAGCCTGTGAAGTTCCATAGCAGAGAGGAAATAAGTGATGGGTAGGAGAAAAAAAAACAAGAAGGAAGAGGCATACCCTTCTATAACACTACAGCCAGAAAAGGGTAAAATGAGGCCCCAAAGTTCAGGCATATGTATATGGCCATTTAACTAGGACTTTTTAAGCAATAAGCATGCTGTGCTTAGGCTATCTGAGCACTATTGTTAAATGTTTTAATTATGTAATTTTTGATACTTTTGATACTTTTAATTATGTAACTTTTGATAACTTTGATACATTCATGTTATCATACGTTGTAATTATTGTTGTTACTACTACATTTTCTCTATATAGCACTATGTATGGGGCAACATACTAAGTAGCTTTACAAAAATTTTTTCTTTTAATCCTTACCAAAATCCTATGAGGAAGTATTTCTCCATTTTATATATGAGAAAACCAAGGGATAGAAAGGTTAAATAACTTGCCCTCAAATACTCAGCAAATAAAGGACAGAGTTGAAAATGGAACCCAGGCAGTCTAGCTCCAAAGCCTATGATCTTAACCATCAAGTTATGCTACCTCTTTTCAGGTGGATAAAGAATACTTTTGGTTACTAACTTAATCTGAAGACAACTATTTTCTAGCAGGAAATATTTCTAATTTTACAATACATGTAGGAGAAAATTGAGTTTACTGATCAGAAACTTGCTAGACTACATTATTAAGTAAAAAAACACACAGAATTAAAAGTAATATTATTTAAAACATCCATACATTTTTAATCTATATAAACATGTACATATAATAATAGTTCTCATCTATATAAATATGTACATATAACAATTGTTCTTAAATTTTACCATGCATCAGAATTTCTTGGCGGGCTTGTTCAAATGCAGACTGCTGAACCCCTACTTCAAACTCCAATCTTTCCCTATTATTTACAAAATAAAGTACAACTTCTTCTCAGCATGGCTTACTTCTGGCCATGAGGCATTGTCTAATTATTCATCTTTCAATATGTTTTTAGTACATTACCTATTTTTTTATGCTTTCCCTAATACAACCCTTCCTAATAAAGCCATACATTCCTTCTACGATTCCAAAGCACCTCTAAAATAGTAAAAAACAGAACAACAATGATAATAATATCAATTAACTCTGTGGGGCATTCCCCAAGGAAACATGAATTACCTCATTCAATCCTCATAACAAATTCTCAGGATAAAGATTATAATTATTCTCACTGTACATATGGGAAAAATATGTGTTAAAGACAAAAAGTACAAGGCACTCCAAGATTATAATAGGAAGATCTAACCTGTTTATAGTTATTGTACTGGCAGTGTCCTATTACAAAAGTATAAGTTACACAGACTATGAATTTCAGGATGCCAAATAATTCCATTTCAAAATGACACTTTCAAAATCAAATTAATTAATTATAAGACCAAAGTCATATAGTTAAAATTTAAAACACATTATTTAAAATGAAATTTAAATTTGTCAGCTCTTTTTTTTCCCTTAGCAAATGGAGCTATTACCCATCTGACACAGAATGTAATAAATATAAACTATCCAAAACTAATAAAATAGCATTTGAAAATGTCCTTGCAATATTGGTCATGATAAAGGTAAAATAATATGCCAAGTTCCTGACAATCCTAGTAGTGCATAAAGTACTTCCCTTTTGGACAATGCCAACTTTCTTATGATTGAATTAGATCCATGACTTAATATACATCATTTGTAAGATTTTTTTTTTTTTTTTTACAAAAAGCAGACTTCTTTCATAGTAAATTTCAAAACGAAAACCAATATTTTTTTTACAGAGGAAAAATGCCTAAAAGTCCAAATACTGACCTTACAAAGAGACATGAAAGGTAAAATCAAGTATGAACCAGGCCTGGATCCCCATATCTTCAGTTTCTATTTATCAAACAGAAAAATCTTTCCAACTTTCTCCTTTCCTGTATAAGACCAAAACTATGCAATATTCTGTTTGTATTACAATTACACTAATTCAATGCAGGTCACTTGCTTTTTACTGAGTCCAGATGACATTCAGTAAACTAAACATGGGCCAATTAGTTTAAAAAAAAAAAGGAGGAAAAGAAAAAAGGAAGAAAGGAGTGTGTTCTGATTGCCTTTGGGTAGGTCATACAGTGGCTACAGAGCATCACAGCCTGAACCTCATTTTGGCTAACACCAACCATACGGCTAACATTAAGGACCAGCATTTTTTATTCCTTTCAGATTTCTCACATTTGGAAATTCCAATTTAAATACATTTTCTGGTGAAAGTGAGGACAGCACTCCTGCATAATATCAGTTTTCCCCTAATTCAACTCCAATGTCTTATTTTGGAGCTACTAAAATGGAGTCTGCACAATGTCTAAAAAAGTATAATAATCCTTTTGAACCAGTTTATGTATTACAGTTATAAATGAGCAAATGAAACTGATGATTTAGCTGACACAAACCCACACAAAAAAAGATGGTCTAAAGCTATGAAGTTTCAACATCAATGTTTGTAATCTCAAATCAATCTGAACCACCATACAATTAGATATATGATAAACTAAGTAACAGAAATATTCATAACTAAAAGCAGTATTATTTTTAAATATCTTATTAGGTGTTGGCACCCAACATTTTCTTATAATCTATCATGTAAAGAAATCTGTTTTACTATTCTTTTTAAACTCTCTACTCATGCTACTTTAGTTGTATTTCTAGAAATAAATAATAAACTCTCTGTTCACCAATTTTTTGGGCTAAAAAATTTTTTAAAAGTTATAATGTAACTAAGTTAAAATGTACATATAATCATAATTTGATATCAGACTGTTTTCATACAAAAAACCTACATTAATTCCTCAAGTAAATTTATACTTTATCAATTGTTGGTATTTTAAATTAAAAAGTACTCAAAAGAAACTATTCATTCACCAATATTACAAAAATGGAAGTTCCAAATATGTAAACTAGCTTGATTTTTAGATTTGTTACTTATTTAGTCTAATTTTTTTAAACTTGCCTAAATTTAACTGAAGAATATTATGTTCCTGCAAGTGTTCACGAATACAAAGATACAGTAATGAAGATGGAAATTATTTACTCTAACAATTCTGACTGCATGACTGTTAAATCACTTACATACGGTCAAATGATCTACAAGGAAGCAGGGAGGTCCTGAAATTGTGTACTCATATCCATTTTCAACTACTGCACAGGTGACACAACCAATCAAGGCATTACTGAAACAGAATGGGAACAGAAAGAACTTAGTGAATAAAAGTGACTTCTTTAGACAAAAATGTAGAGGTTAGCTTGTGACCAAGGTGGAAGAAACAGCAGCACCATTCCTCCCATTGTTTGTTCATATTAAGAGAAAAGTGAGACCAATAAGAGGCAAAGGACAGAGGACAGCAACACCAGCAAAGAGTCAGGCAGCAGTGGGGTCAGAGCACAAGGACAATATTAACAGTTAAACATGGAGCACAGAAGGGGTGGTTTAAATGTCAGTTTTACCGAACTATTTATAGGACAGTTCTTACATATCACTGAATCAATAAGCACTATTCCCAAAAGCTTGGAAATAAATGTTACAATGAAATGTTGGTTATGTAAAAATCTTATTTAATGCAGTAATTACTATTTAGAAAAGAGCAAATATAGTAAATATTAAGTAAAAATTAATAATAATTAAAATGGGCTTACAGTCTGAAATATAATAGGACATATTATGGGAAAGGATTACTGTTCTAACAACTATGCATAAAGCTGTGAAAAGCCAACAGTTATATTAATCTGTAGAAACAGTACTCTAAAAATTACAATAGGGAGATATACTTTTATTTTTTTTCTTTTTACACAAGGTCTTATTCTGTCACCCACACTGGAGTGCAGTGGCATGATCATGGCTACTGCAGTCTCAACCTCCTGGGCTCAACCGATCCTCTCAACTCAGGTTCCTGAGTAGCTGGGACTACAAGAGCACACCACCACACCCAGCTAATTGTTTTTGTATGTTTTGTAGAGACAGGGTTTTGCCATGTTGCCCAAGCTGGTCTGAAATTCCTGGGCTCAAGTGATCCACCCACCTCAGTGTCCCAAAGTGCTGGGATTATAGGCATGAAGTACCATGCCCGGTCCAATATGGATATTAATCCTCCTGAAATAGATGGGATTTTAAAATGCAATACTCAGTTTCAATATTGAAATGTGCTCTTCTTTGACTGAAAATGACATGACACTGTGAAAGCTTTCTTCTAACAAGGGAATTTTTAGACCTTCACACAAGTTTTCATAATGTTTACTACTTTCAATAAGCTTCATGACTATTGATGCTTTGGGGAAAATTTATTTTTTGTTTCTTCATTTGCTTTTCAAAACCAAAGGCATACAGTAATAATTCATTATGCTTTTACAACCAGGTTTCATCTGATGTCAATGTTATCTTTCATATATTTTTAAGTGTTTTTCCATGTTAACGTGAAGGTGTGTTTCTTAACTTTACATAGCAAGAAACAAAGACACGCCTTTGTTCAATTTAAATATTTTGGCTCCTGGCCAGGCGTGGTGGCTCACGCCTGTAATCCTAGCACTTTGGGAGGCTGAGACAGATGGATCACCTGAGATCAGGAGTTCAAGACCAGTCTGGCCAACATGGTGAAACCCCATGTTTACTAAAAATACAAAAATTAGCTGGGCGTGGTGGTGTATACTTGTAATCCCAGTTGCTTGAGAGGCTGAGACAGGAGTTATTTGTTATTTGTTATATGTTATTCCATATTCCCTATTCTATTCTATTCTACTCATTCAGACAGGATCTCACTCCATCACTCAGGCTGGAGTGCAGTGGCGCGATCACGGTTCACTGCAGTCTCGACCTCCTGGGCTCAAGTGATTCTCCCACCTCAGTCTCCCAAGTAGCTGGGACTACAGGCACAAGCCACTATGCCAGGCTAATTTTTGTATTGTAGACACGGGGTTTCACCACGTTGTCCAGACTGGTCTAGAACTCCTGAGCTCAAGTGATCTGCCTGCCTTGGCCTCCTAAAGTGCTGGGAATACAGGCTTGAGCAACTATGCCTGGTCTCCATATTCATTTTATTCAAAAGAATTTTATACATAAAATTATGGCAAAATTTCAAAGAAGAATATACTCTTTTGTAGTTCTATAATCTAGTGGAAAAATGTGACATAAAAAATGTAAAAGTTAATGATATACTAGTGAAGGGCTCCTCATATTCAATTAACTTTGATTTTATTCTCAATTTATTTTATACTACCATTCTTCTTACGAACATATCTTCAACACTTTCACTGTACCAATAAACAATACAATAATCAACAATTTGCATTCATTATTAAAGTATTATATTTAAAACGCCAAAGCACCTACTTGAAAGGAACATTCCAATATACTTTAATTATTCTTGGTCATTTGCTCGTGTTTCCTTAAATACAAATACAGTATACCTAACAAATAATAAGCATAATTATAAATATTACCACATGTTACAATTCTTTATTCCAATAAAGAAAACATATGCTCAAATAATGGAATTTAACTATAAAATCTATTTTTTAGCTCATTGAAAAAACATAAAAAAGGGATGATTAAACTATTTACCTGTCTTAAATATTTAAGAGGATATGTTTAGTTATACTACTATATTTATATGTTATATAAACTATATATTAATGCATTTATATACTATAGTAATATGTATTTATATACTATAAAAATATAATACTATATATAATACTGGCTTTCTAAATACATTTCCTAATTTCCTTTATTTACTACTATAACTTTGTAGTTTATAATTTACAAATTTCCCAGCACTATATCTTCCCCACAAGATTTCCCTTTCTACTGGCTACTAACATACAATGTTTAAGGACTAATTAATCATAGATTGGTTAATGAATCTACAAAATATTTAATCTTTTATTTCCATTTTTCTTTCCTGCTAACTGACTTTTGACCATGTTAGTGTTTATTAAGCTAAAGATCCAAATTAGCTAAATTCTTGCCCTCCCAAATAGGAGGCAGTCTAAAACAAAGGTGTTGGCTGACTGCAAGTTCTGGTGGAATTTACCTATTAATCAATTCTACACCATTTTGTCAAATCTGACCCAATATAGTGCCAAAAGAACATTCTTAAATATTAAGACTTCTATCTTTGGCATACAAGATTCATTCATCCAACAAATATATACTGAGTAACTACTATAGGCCAAGCACTGTTCTAGTGCTTAACATATATTAGTGAACAAAAGAAATAAGAAATTCCTGCCCTCATGTTGCCAATTTACCAACTCTGTGCTGTAATCCACACCAAAAATACAAAATTGAAGATACTATGTCTTACTTAAAGAATATTTAACCTAATTAAGGCAAGAAAAAAGTCCTCAATGCAACTTATCATATAATGCTAAAAGAGGCATATGTAAACGGTAGCAGAAGCATATATAAAGTGCCATGGAGAGTAGAGAAGAAGCCTCTGTGCAGATGTTATTGAGTACAACATCACAAGGACTGTAATTCTCTCTGCCTATAACAATCAAACACACGCATTCCAACTTGAGAACAGATATGCCCAAGACAGTAACACAGCTTTGTATCTAACTCTATGTTGTCTTTCTCAGAGGTAAATCAAGGCGCTGCTTTACAGACCTTCATAATTTATGTCCCCTTAGCATCTTCAAGAGTTAATGGAAAAGGAGGGAAAATTCTAATCACTACATGTTGACACTTGTTAGTAGCCAAGAAAAGTTCTCAAACAATGACAATTTTAAAAATTAAGTTGTATACACTTTCTAGGTTAACCGTGGGCCTCAATAATCCCTACCATTCCAATACAGAAAGACAAATATCACAAGTTCTCACTCATATGTGAGAGCTCAAACCACTGGATCTCATGACATACAGAGAACAGTTGCCATCACCAGAGGCCAGTAAGGGGAGCAGGGAGGGAGGGGTGAAATTGAGGGAAAAGGGATATAAATGTATTTATTAGCACTGAACTGTACACTTACAAATGGTAAAGATGGTAAATTTTAAAAAATATTTTCAATAATAATAATATTAATAATTATCCTTACCATCCTTATCTCTTATTCACATGGAGACATTAGCTACCATTTATTAAGTGCCTCCAGCAGGAGAGGCACTGTGTACACCCTTTATATAACATTATTTCTAAGGCTTAAACCTTTAGAAGATTAGTATTTTTATTACCCAGTTTTTCACATATGAAGACTGAGGGTGGGAGAGATTGTATAATTCGCCCAAGGTTGTACACCATTTGGCCTGGAATGTAAAAGAAATCCATATGAACACAAAGTCAAGGATCTTTTCACTCTACCTCATAGCTGCCCACTCTCATAAAGAATCTAATATTGAGGGATATTAATTCCTCTTCTATGATTATTTTTAACCATCTTATATGTAGATACATATGTAAACTGATCAAAAACAGTTTACATCCTTGTTGAAAACAGGATCACATATGATTACCTAGCCTGCTAACCTAGACAGGCAGATGGATAGACAGGCAGGTGGAAGAATGAACAAAATCTCAAGTATAATGACATCCAAATTGTTTAAATCTACTGTACAGTGTTCTTATAAATCTTCAATGGCAAGTCCTTTTGACTGACACTGTTTCTGAAAGAACAATTAGGCTAGGCACAGTGGCCCATGTCTGTATTCTCAGCATTTTGGGAAGGCAAGGCAGAAAGATCACTTGAGCCCAGGAGTTTGGGACCAGCTTGAGCAACATAGGGAGACCCTCATCTCTACAAAAATATTTAAAAATTAGCTGGGTGTGATGGCACACACCTGTAGTCTCAGCTACTCCAGAGGCTGAGGTGGGAGGATCACCTGAATGCGGGAGATTAAGGTTGCAGTGGGACATGATTGCTCTCCACTACCCTCCAGCCTGGGTGACAGAGAGCTCAAAAAATGATAAATAATAAAAGAAAGCACAATTAAACAAAAAATAAACTTACCTTGAGATCTTTGTAACACCTTTATTATCCCTATTACCTCATCTTCTACTAATATCCTTCTGGCTCACTCCAGCCACAGTGGTCTCTAGTTAAGAATCAAAGAGCCAAGCATGTTCCCATCTCACACAGACTTTGTACTGTCTGTTCCCTCCAACCAAGGCAGTCTTACCCCAGACGGCTCGCTCCCTTGTGTGCTTCAGTCTTTAGCTTAAATATCTCCTTAACAAGGCATCCTTGACTACCATTTTAAAGTACAATCAGACCTTCATACTCCCTAATCACCATCCAATGATATATTTTATGTATGTGTTACATTTATTATGTCTAATCCAACCAGAATATAAACACAATGAAGGCAGGAATTTTTGTTTTACTCAAGGCTATATATCCTGCCCATAGAAAAGTGGCTGACGCACAACAAATATTTGTTGAATGAATAAATGAACTTTGTGGCCAGGCACAGTGGCTCATGCATATAATCTCAGCACTATGGGAGGCCAAAGGAAGGATCACTTGTATCTAGAAGTTCGAGACCAGCCTGGGCAACATCCTGAGACTTCACCTCTACACAAAACTTAAAAATTAAGCGGGTGTGGTGGCATGCACCTGTAGTCCCAGCTACTCAGGTCTACTTGGGCTGAAGTGGGAAAATCTCTTGAGCCCAGGTATCTGAGGCTGCAGTTACTATGATCACACCACTGCTCTCCAGCATAGGCAACAGAGAAATACCCCAACTCAATAATAATAATAATAATAAATGAACTTCATTACCTGGAACCTAAAGAGGAATTGTATAAGTTCAATGTCATCACTGATAAATAATTCAATTAAAGACTTCTTTTAAAGCAAAGTTTTATGTTATTTGGCACTACTGAACTTCTCCTTCTTATAGAATGTTTGCCTCCTTACTCTGGCCAACAATCTTCTTTTCACTGCTCTTTAGAAATTTAACACGATGAAAATCAGTGTTTGACTTTAAAAGTCAAAGTATGAATGAAACCAAACTTGTACACAGCTATTAGCTCTCATTTCAATAAACTGTTATTAAACCCATAATCTTTTGAGAGAGCAATTCATAGATTAAAAATTAAAATTAAGATTTTATCTGATGCTTTTTATGGCATCCATTGTATTGAATGCATTTGTTTAATATTTCTAAGTCTTTAGAAAAGCTTCTGAGAAAATTGATTTCCTTATGTTGTTTACAAAAAAAATCTATTATCCAAAACTATTTATTATGTTAAAATACTTTTACTCAACAATAATTTTTTTCTCCTAAGGTAAATGAAGGCATATGACACCTCCCCAATTATATAACTTTTTATTATTTTAATTAAATTAACTGATACCAGCATGTTTTAATATCATCTCTACACATTCAGAAGAAGTAAATAACCTAGAGATCAAAATACACAGTAAACCCATACAAACAGCAGTTTTTCATTGCCATCTCTCTATATATAAACATTGAATGCAATTCTATGGAAGTATGGCTCCACATATTCAGATGAGGAATATGTCTGTTTACATGTGTCTCTTTCCTGGTCCACATTACACTGGGACCTGTGTGTACCTCTGTGGTTAAGATTTACTGCATGTTCATATTAAAGTCTCATTTCCAACATTTAAACATGCAGTCACAAAGATCAATTACAACAGTTATTAGTACAACCCTTAGTATGCCAAAGATTTGGGAGTTCATAAAGTTGAAATTGATTGTTTTTGGACAATTACAGGTACCAAAATGATTTAAAACATTTCAATTTTTGTTTTGCTCTGCTGAATCAGACACATTTAAACAAGAGAACCAGAAGCAGAGACTTAAATATCAACTTGTAATCAAAAATCACCAGTAATGTCTTAGCAGCACAGTCATCCTCCTACTCAGTAGAGTTCTTAAACATACAGGGACTCTAATATTAGCTTCAAAACATTTTCAGAATAAATGTCTAGCAAAAATATGTCAAATCTGGACTTAAAGGAACACATAAGGCCTAAGAAATAATTGCTATCTCAAATACTGTGGAGTTAATAAGGTTTTAAAATATATAAAGTTGCTATACGCTAAATGGCACATTTTATATTAGACACCCTTTCTTGCTATAAACACTGTATTATACATTAAACTGTAGCAAAAGTGAATGAATCTATGAGGAATATCGAAATAAAATTTTCAAATACTCACATAATGACATACCTCTACACTGTGAGGTACTTTATGACAGAGTATCTGATTCATTCATCTTTTAATTCCTAGTGCTTGAATACAGAGTTGATATTCAGTAAATACTGATTGATTAAACAGATAAATGAGTAAATACAACATGAAGAATAATTATGTAATGAGACTTCTGATTTTACAAAACACTTTCACTACTTTTCTAATTTTATATATATATATACACATATATAGATAGATACAGATATAGATATAGAGACAGGGTTTTGTCATGTTGCTGGTCTAGAATTCCTGAGCTCAAGCAATCCACCCAGCTTGGACTCCCAAAGTGTTGGGATTACAGGTGTGAGCTATCATGCCCAGTTGTGTTTCACCACTTTTCAATGTCAACTTCAAGAAAATGAAAATTGCACCTTTCCGAACAAACTTTAAGTCTACCCTAAACTCCTAAGAATCAACACTAAGAGTAGACGACATAATGTGTGGGAAAATAAAAAGTCAGCCAGCCAGCTGGACATCAGTCTTTTCGCTGACT